TTATTCTAGTTTTATTGTATTGGTGGGTTTCTGTAACCTATTTTTCATATTCTTATCCCCAGTGTTCCAGATATATAAAACACGTTTGTTTCTGGTAGTCTGATGACTACTGTTACATGACAGAAGTTGATAACAACCTGAGCGAGAACTAAGTAACTGAAGAAGTTCGAATGTATATAGACATGCATTTTCATTGAATAATATTTTATTTTTATTACATATTTTTCATTTCTATTGCATGAGTGTTCATTTGTATTCTATTAAATGTTTCCAATTTCCTTAAAACGATCTTTGGATTTATTTCAGTTTATTATTTCTGACTAAATGTGAGAAAAGAAATTTGACATAATTTGGCAAACGGACAGAATGTAATCATTAAAAACCACCGACATATTTACATCTCACTACATACAAAGAACATTTTCTATGAACAAAAACCTGCATTGCTTACACACAATTCATTTGAACTTTGGTGGATAGTTGTCTCATTGGCAATCATACCACATCTTCTTATTTTTATATTGTATCTTGGAATGAAGACCGCCAAAATTAGCAGGTTATACGAACCGTTGGAAAAACAACAAAACACTTAATGATGCAACAACACTTTAAAAGGGTACCAATTATTTCTCAGTTGTTGGATTTCCCCTTAGATAGACTAAACACAGTAGTCGAGTTCAGAGGTTGGACTTTAACCAATTTAATGATAAAATTGGAGGTTTTATTTTGTACCGAAAGAACATTGAAACTGAGTTGTGTTCTATATAAAGAAGATACAATATATCTGCGTTGATTCCTTAAAAGCATACAACGAGCCTAAGGTCGGTGATTTCAAATAACCACCTAATTATCTTGAAAGATGCATAAAAGAGGGACAAAAGATACCAGAGGGACAGTCAAACTCATAGATCGAAAACAAACTGACAACGTCATGGCCAAAAATAAAAAGACAAACAGACAAATAATAGTACAGATGACACAACATAGAAAACTAAAGACTAAGCAACACGAACCCCACCAAAAACTGGGGGTGATCTCAGGTGCTCTGGAAGGGTAAGCAGATCCTGCTCCACATGTGGCACCCGTCGAGTTGCTTTTGTTATTACAAATCCGGTAAATAGTCTAATTCGGTAAGTCACATTCGTGAAAAGGGAAAGATATTGTAGTTACGACATAAGGAACATATCCGATATCATCTGTGAAACGGTTATTCCATAACGGTCAACCAACTCGTGATGGCGTCCGTAAAATTTACGAAGGGATGATTCAACTTCACCATTTGGAACTCTTGGTTTAATAGCTTCCTTGTGAGCAGCAATCCTCTATCAAGGAAATCATGATAGGAAACACAAGCCCGGGAATATCGTATCAATTGGGAGATATATACTCCGTATGCAGGCGCTGCTGGAATGTTGCTACATAGAAATGGAAAGTTCACAATTGGGAAGCCGAAATCATCTCTTTTGTCGTAAAGTTTTGTTTTCAACCGACCCTCATTGTCAATTTCTAGATGTAAGTCAAGATATGAGGCAGACTTAACTGTATCTGTAGTATCCTTTATCTTAAGAGACAACCATCAACAATTAAAAACCAATTGTTCAGAGAACAATTGAAGGTCTTTCCACATCAATTTTCTAAATAAATGATAAGAAGCTACTTCCGGTTTTCTGAAAGTTATTATTGCGACCAATCATATGTTTCATCATACTGATTCGATAAATAAATGGTTTCTTTATACTTTCGTGTGAAATAAGGGCTAATGGCTACTTCCGGTTAAGTGAATGTCACTTCCGGTCTCATATGAGAGCTTCTTTCACATTGATTCCAAAAATATATGGTTTCTTTATACTTTTGCCTAAAATAGGGAGATAATTGTCAACTTCCGGTTTAGAAAATGTCAATTCCGGTCTCATATGATAGCTGTATTTACACTGTTTCCAAAAATATATGGTTTCTATATATTTTTGCCTGTAATAAAGTAGATTATTTTCCACTTCCGATTTATCCAAGGTCAATCCCGGTTTCAAATGATTAGTTTATGTATGTTTATTAAAAAAAATATATGGATTCTCAGTACTTTTCCTTGAAATAAGTGCAGAAATGGCTCCTTCCGGTTTCCTCAGGGTCACTTCCGGTTGAAATTTTTTAAGGTCATATGTCACCAAACATTTTGCAAAAGACCCTATGGCGTTATTATGAACCAAGTTGAAGAAATATTCAAATAACCTTAAATTAAACATTTCAGGGGCAATAACTCCTATAAGATGTCAATGGATTGTTTTAGACCATATGTGTCATATCTTCATCACAATAAAGCGAACATTTTGCACTAGTTCTTTTCTATATATCTTTAAAAGTGTCAGAGAAAATGCAAAAATAAGGGAAAGACAAAATTGAAAACATGACCTTGACCTTTGGCCTTGAACTCATTTTCTAAGGTAGGACATAGGGTACTCAAATAAAAAGACTCTAGGGTTATACGGCTAACGGTTTATGAGTTACAAAAACATAACGACAAATTTATTAGGTAAAGGTAGATAACTCCTATAAGATTTCATCGGATCGCTTCGATCCAAATCAGCCAAAAATTCCTGAAGATGTAACGAACAAAGAAGAAAAAGAATTTTGCCGATATCTTTTTGGTTACGGAGGAGATGCACACACATGATAAACAGTGTACTGAGAGATAACTCTTACACAGAAAATTGTTCGGCTAAACAGGGTCAAATTTAAAAGCGCATAAACTGTACGATACAAGAGTATTCGAGTGAATATGATCAAAAATGTAAACAAACAGACTTCTTTTCTTGAAAGATGTGAAATAGATGTTTGAACTTAACATACGAGATCATACAAGGTAAGTTAGTATTTGTGATAAAAAGATATCATCACCCCTACATTATTTTGTGTTCCAAAAGATTAAATTTAGCTTTACAATGCTTTTATTCCAAAATATAGAAAAAGCTATTTTTATACAAATACCAATGCAAATGTCAGATGAAATGTATATTTGGATTCTATATATATTCAGATATACAGACACTATAAAAATTCTTGTTATTGCATTGAGAAGCACATTTTTAGAAGAAATTCATTTTTATGTGTCCGTGTTTTTTCGAGAGCAAGTTCGGGCTTTTTGAGTGCGGTTCGGGTTCTGATCGAGTAAATACAAAAAATATCAATGACTTAACATGCTATATGTAAATGCATTTACGTTTAAAAAACAATGAAAGGTTCAAATAAAGTACTTTTCAAAGCACGAAACCAATGCATTTAACAAGTTTGTTATAAATAGTTAACGTAACACGTACATTCCATATAAAGCATCGTTCATTTGTATATGTTATTGTTTGCCACATCTTATAAATTGCAACGGCACCGGCATAGGTATATGTGGATAGATCATGTCCACGCCTATGTCAACATGGTGGAACTATCCAACAAGTCAATGCTCAGGTACACATGTTATATCGATCCAAACATACGGATATTGATAGAGTAGAATTACGTGATGTGAACAATCCTCATGTTAGCGTACCGATTTTGTATCATGCAGTAAATATTCGTGATGTAAACAACATTTATGTGAGTACAAACATATATATAAAAATAAATAGATGTGGTATAAATGCCAATAAGACAACTATCCACAACAGTACAAATGAAGAAGATAAGATTAAGTATAGGTTACCGTACGGCATTCAACAATGAGAACACCCATACCATATAGATAGCTATAAAGTACAAGACATTAAAAATGGGAAATAATTAAAACGAGAAAACTAACGGCCTAATTTATACAATACAAAATAAAACCAAAAAACAAATATGACGTACATGAACCAAAGACAACCACTGAATTACATGCTCCTGACTTGGGACATTATTTTTCTCACCACTATTTTTAAAACTTAAGGTTTCGCCATTGTGATATATAGAAATCAAAATATTATTTACTATAAAAACAAAATATAGCATGAAATATTATTGAAAAGGTTATGAGTTCCCTCTTTTTGGTTATAAAGACAGTTTTACAAACAATCCAGTAATTTCTAATATATCTTAATACTGCAAGGTTATGGTCATCTGTCAGATCATAAAATTATCATTAAATTGAAAAGGTTTAAATTTGATCAACATAGTAATATGTTTGTGACTTATTAGGAATGTATAATATTGTCCTTCGCTAAATTACAGTTACAAACTAGAAAATCAGTTTTTAAGCCCAAAAATGCCTTCTTTCTTATTCGCATTTTCGTTATAAAACCTGGACCATTTGTTTAAAAACTCGCACGTTTTAAATGTTGCTCTCAAAAAAACACGGACAATGTAAAACACTGAACTGTAAGTAAACTACAAGGAAGTTGTGCATCGTATGTGCTAAAAAAATTAGTCGTATTTAGAATAAGATGAACAGTCATGAATCAAACTGTAATATACGAAAAATAACAGTAAATCGATCTGATCGCATGTAATATCACTCGAAAAAACCTGATCAACACTCGAAAAAAGTGGACCGATTCACTCGAAAAAAAAAAAACGATTTCAGCCGCACACTATACCTACCGTACTTATGCTAATGAATATAAATACCTCTGTTATTTTATTTCGGGCTGAAATATCTCTATGCAATGTCTGTAACTGTTTGATAATAGAGTTGATATAAGAACCCTGCAAAACAGACCAGAATTCATCTTTTACTTTGTATTTGAAGGTTCCAAAATCAATCAAAGTCTTATACATATACAAGTATACGTGAAATTGCATACGGTCGATTTCTATCCGACGCAGCTTATATGTTTTTCATGTTGTTGTCATCAAAGAATTCATCAAAGCAATTCGAATAAATAGAAAGAAATTTGCATTAAAGATTAATGAAAACTTAACGGTCGTATGACACATTCATTTTACAATCAACTATCTATTTAAAATCTAGTCCTATCCAATTTATTGAAAACAATGTATTTATGCAAACTTTCAATGCATCAATCAGTTGGAACTTTAATTTCAAGCGTTTCACTGCAGATTGTAGCGTTACACTGAAGACATGACAAAACTATTTAACGTCAGATTAGGGTGTCTTGTTGGTATAGTTTGGGTTATTTACGTTGCAAATGGTATGTATTCACTAAATAATAATCTTCATTTATCTTTTTATAAATTTCAAAGTATGATAAATTAATTTTTTTTATTTCATATTAAAATAATACAAATTTGATTGAAAATGATTCCGCATTTCTGATTTTTGTATTTGAGCTATTTTATTTGTCAATGGTCATGTTGTTATTTTCCGTAACTGTATTGTGTATCATTTGTCTAGAAATCATAGTGTTTTAAATTCAAACTTATATATCTTTATTCTGTCATGTATTAGGGTAGGGGAATTTTCGTGAACTGATGGTTTAGAAACAAGTAATAGCTTTTCTAAAAAGCTTGCCGTTTTATAGCTTATTGTGTTGAAATTTATTTTTTTTGCTTTTTGTTTTGTTTTGTAGTTTCATCCATTCAGAATATTACTCTGCATATAAATTTTAATTAGAAAAAAAAAGTAGAATAGAGTGAAGGCCACTATAGTATTTTAAGGGTTACAATTTTCATTTTGACAATGTGCGTGGTGATTTTTAACCCCTGGACTGTGCTTAATTTTTATATTATTTACGTTTTGGACTGTACGTATTTCGGTAGACTTTTTTATAAATCAATTTTTCAGTAGACAGGTCAATTTTACTCTCTGTCTGTTTGGTTGTGTTTGAGTAACGTGTGATCAATATCTTTTATAAGTTGTTCAGATAAACCAACTCACAAACGTTTTAGATCCCAATGAATCTTTATTATACAGGAAATAATTGTCCCTATATCCTACTTAAGCAGGTTCCAGAAGTGTTTATGGATACATAGTTCCTGCGGGAAAAGTTTTAAGGAGTAAATCGGTTTGAAGTCGGTTCTGAAAAAAGTTGACAAATTGGCATGTTATGAAGGAAAGTAAATACATGTGTGACTCTCTGACCGTTACTTTCTGTCTTTATATTGGTCTTCTTGTTATTCTTATTTAGCTTTGTATCAATCCGATGAGACAACCCCTTTTCAACTGGTTTTTACAGTTAGTTCTTACATAATAGAAAAGAAAGGATATGGGGTTATCCATCCAGGACACAAAATCAGTACATGCACAGCAAAAACAAAATAGCAAAGGAACTTCGCTTTTATTGATGTATGTTGCGCTATAACACCACTGTCCAAGGTAAGGGTTGGGTTGGGCGCCCGCAAACATAGTTAACATCGCCATAGTCGCTTTATGCCTGTACCAAAATCATGATTCTCAATTTCATTGTGTTCGTTTGTTGCTGTGTATTATACATAAATCAATGACATGCCGTTGGTTTTGTCGTTTGAATTTTTTTACTTTTGTCATGTAGGATCCTTTTAGAGCTTGCAATGCGGTATCAGTTTTTTCATTGTTAAATACCGTAGGGTGGCGTATATATGCTAACATCTATGTCATTTTGTCACTAGTGGATAATTTACTCATTAGTAATCATATCATATCTTCTTTTTTTATGTTATGAATATTGGACTGACTAATTTTCTGGACCGTTGCAAAACATATTTACTAAAATTATGGTTTTAAACATTTGCCAGCACTATTCATATGCATCGATCAAAGTTCAACTATATACCATTTGTTGTCAGAACATTATAATACAAACATGTACATGAAGCTGTAACTGTTGTTTTCTCAGTTCGTTCTTGTTCATTGCCTTAAGTTCTCCTTAATTTGTGTGTTTAATTTTGATATTTAAGGGATTTTGTGTTGATTGCATATTTTTAAAAGTCTTTCTAAAATTATCCATAATTATCTATTTTTCTGAAAATTTAGGGCTTGAAATATTGTAAAGACATGTATCCATTGAAGAAACCTGAGTGCTGGCCCTGTTAAGCTTTGGCGTTTATTTGGTTGCTGTCTTTTTTATGATACCCTACATCTCCTTTTATTTACACAAATAAATCTGGCAATGCTTTAAATATTTTTACATACATGTATACCTGCTTTCAAAACACCTTACGGGACTGAAAAAAAAACATGCCACCAGACCTGTACCAACGCCTATACGTTTAAAATACCCCTTCTCGAAAAAGTTACTTGTATTAATCGTATTAAGTCTTATTATTTCCCCTTTGGAAGCTAACCTTAGAAGTAGACCGTTTTGTCATCAGAACTTCACTGTTCCGTGATGGACGTTGTCGTGATAATAAATTCGACACACGTTTACATCAACCCACCCCCTCTTCTATATTATTCTATAGACCCGGGATAAATAAACATTAAAATTAATCGAAAATAAGTCATTTGAAAATACATGTTTTCACATTTTTTTTATACTTTTGAATTATATCAGTTAGTTGATACTTATATTTAATTTTTGTCAACTACAGAAAGAATCATACTCGATCCTTCCTATAAATATTTTTATTAACGTAACCATGGTAACATGTGTAAATGGTTCTGCAAAATCACGACAGTGTGATTCTTGATATAGCGTAACTTAGTTAAATCACTACGTGTGCATTTTATACAAAACAAAATCGCTAATGTTTCGGCTTTTTATAGATAAGTGTGAAATACTATTATCCTGTATAACGTTACGCATGTGTGATAACTGTAATTCTATTGATGCTTTGTTTCTCCGGAATTGATCTAAAATACACTAAAAAGTTAATTAAGAATACGAAAGTTTAAATAATATTTATAATTATCTGATGCAAACACAAATGAATGATAAAGACAGAACAAAACTCAATTAATTTGAATCACTTTTGGGTATGACCTTGTCATACTTGCGTCATTAAAATATCTATTTTACACTTCACTATCAACTTGATTGAACACTTCATGACCTACTATCATGATTGTCTCGGCCTTTCTTACGGATACGCTCACATATAATAGATGCACCCCAATATTTCCCAATGAGACGTTATTGTATAAGCTAATATTTACCAATTAGAATCCCTTAACATATTTACCCCATTGTGACGTGCCGCGTATGATTATTTAGACCTGGTCTCATGTGACCCGGTAATTAGATAATAACAGGGAAATTTGACTATCCGGTTTTGTGGGATGATTTATCAAAAATATTTATTATCGACCGATTTTAACAGGTTTTTTTCAAACATCCAACATTTAAAACTTTTATTCAAAATTTATTTTTTTTTCATTTTTTTTTTTTTCAACATTCGTATTTTAATATTCAACATTCGATTCCAACCTTCAACATTCGATTTTCAACATTCAATATTCGTTTTCAACATTCAACATTCAAATTTTTTATTTTTTTTCAATACTCGATTTCAACATTCGTTTTTCAACATTCAACATTCGTTTTCAACATTCGTTTTCAACATTCAACATTCGTTTTCAACATTCGTCTTTCAATATTCAACATTGGATTTCAACATTCAACATTCGATTTTCAACATTCAACATTTGATTTCAACATTCAACATTCGATTTCAACATTCAACATTCATTTTTTTTTTTTAAACATTCGATTTCATCATTCAACATTCGTTTTTCAATATTCAACATTCGTTTTCAACATACAACATTCGTTTTCAACATACAACATTCGTTTTCAACAGTCGTATTTCAATAGTCAACATTCGATATCAACATTCAACATTCGTTTTTCAACATTTAACATTTGATTTCAACATTCAACATTCAACATTCAAAAATGTTTTTCAAACATTTTTTTTTTTCAATTTTTTTTTTCATCATTCGATTTCAATAGTTAACATTCGTTTTCAACATTGAACATTCAAATTCAACATTGAACATTCGATTTTCAACATTCAACATTCGTATTCAACATTCAACATTCGTATTTCAATATTCAACAATCGATTTCAACATTCAACATTCGATTTCAACATTCGTTTTCAACATTCAATTTTTGAATTTTTTTCTCATTTTTTTTTTAACATTCGATTTCAACATTCGTTTTTCAACATTCAACATTCGATTTCAACATTTGTTTTTCAACATTCAACATTCGTTTTCAACTTTGAACATTCGATTTTTTCAACATTCAACATTTTAAAATTTTATTCAATTTTTTTTTTTTTTTTTTCATTTTTTTTTTAAACATTCGATTTCAACATTCAACATTCGTTTATCACATTCAATATTCGTTTTCAACATTCAACTTTCGTTTCCAACATTCGTATTTTAATATTCAACATTCGATTTCAACCTTCAACATTCGATTTTTAACATTCAACATTCAAAACTTTATTTTTTTTTTCATTTTTTCTTTCTTTTTTTTTTTCAATACTCGATTTCAACATTCGTTTTTCAACATTCAACATTCGTTTTCAACTTTCAACGTTCGTTTTCAACATTCGTCTTTCAATATTCAACATTCGATTTCAACATTCAACATTCGATTTTCAACATTCAACATTTGATTTCAACATTCAAGATTCGATTTCAACATTCAATTCTTTTTTTTTTAAACATTCGATTTCAACATTCAACATTCGTTTTTCAATATTCAACATTCGTTTTCAACATACAACATTCGTTATTCAACATTCGTTTTTAACAGTCGTTTTTCAATATTCAACATTCGATATCAACATTCAACATTCGTTTTTCAACATTCAACATTTGATTTCAACATTCAACATTCAACATTCAAAAATGTTTTTCAAACATTTTTTTTTCAATTTTTTTTTTCATCATTCGATTTCAATATTTAACATTCGTTTTCAACATTCAACATTCAAATTCAACATTGAACATTCGATTTTTAACATTCAACATTCGTATTTCAATATTCAACATTCGATTTCAACATTCAACATTCGATTTCAACATTCAACATTCAAATATTTTTTTTTAAACATTCGATTTCAACATTCAACATTCGTTTTTCAATATTCAACATTCGTTTTTTCAATATTCAACATTCGTTTTCAACATACAACATTCGTTTTCAACATTCAAAATTCGTTTTCAACAGTCGTATTTCAATATTCAACATTTGATATCAACATTCAAAATTCAACATTTGATTTCAACATTCAACATTCAACATTCAAAAATGTTTTT